AAGACTTTCCTGCCCATAACTCAGGCCTTCCCTGTCTCGCTCTCCCTTTCTCTGTCTCTCTAGTCCACCTTCCGTTCTCTTCCGTGTGTCACTCTCCATGGAGGATGTCTTAGTAGTGAGAATTTGGGAACTTCTGAGAGAGAAAAGCTCGTGGACTTTGGCCCAGAGAAGAAAGAGCCATGAGGCGCTTTCTGAAGTGGACCAAGTGCATTGGAGCAATTGGACTCAGGCCCCCAGGCATTTTTCACGTGTTTATTTTGTGCCAGGAACTCTGCCAGGGCCTGTGGGAGCTGCCCCGATGAATGGAGATGGTCCCTGACTCCAGACACCCACTGTTTCAGAGTTGGAGAGGTCCCAGCTCGCTCGCCTGCTTCCACACGGGAGCAGGAAGAAGCCCAGTAGGAGTGTCCCCCACCCTTCCCTGGTTTGAGACAATTTCCACGGCCCCATCTGCTCCAAATGGCCGGCCCTGATGCAGAGACACGGTGGGTGCAGGCTGGGCAGCCTGGTGAGCAGTGACTGCTCCCACATTGCTCTGTCAGGACCAGCTGTTCCACATGCCACGTGCTGATGGCTGATAACCCGCAGGTCCTCACATACCACGAGAGGTGTTCATCAAACCTCAGAGTCAACTGTACATGAAATAAAATTGCCTGTGCCAAGGGAAGGGGGCCCTGGCCCCTGTGGACACGTCCAGGGAGAACAGCAGGACGAGGAGGACTGACTGTTCAGGTCGAAGGCCAGGATCTTTGTGCTTGGCCATGCGGTGTATGTCTGGTTGCCAGGTCCCAAAGCATGTGAGGCCATCATGCTTTCGGCAAAGGACGCGGGAAGAATTCAGGGAAATCTGTAGGCGGGACTTGGAGGGAGGCGTTGCCTCCCATCTGGTTGGCTCTAACTGTTCCTCTCTGGCCGTGTTGTGTCCAGCCTTCTGCTGGGCCAGCTGCCAACAGAAGAGAGTCCTGGCTGGTCCTTTTGACCACATTGTTCTTCTTGGAGGAGAACTAATTCTGGTGGCCACCCATGGCCTCCCACATCAAACTCTGCCTTCCGACTCTTGCCTTCTCTGGTCAGCTACTGTTTTTATGCAACCTAAAGTCCCTCCCGAACATTGGAAATGGAACGGCCGGTCATTACTCCCTGATTTTCTCCATTTCCCTGTGATGGAGCCAACCAAATTAGCTATTTGCCTCCAGATGCCTCCTGGTTTTCTCCAGGGACTGGAATAGCTCCCCACACACAGGATACACATCTGGCCTCCTTGGTTGAAAGCCAGTTATCAGAAAAGGGACAATTAGAATATTACTGATCTATTTCCTCTTCTTTTATCTTCTCGCCACCCCCAAAATTGTTTTTGATTACATTTGGGTAGAGTAGGGAAAAGCGCTTACTTTACAGAATGTGTTTACCATTTAGGCCCATATAGAACTTTCTAGAAGGTGGAGCCAAGAAGGTGGAAAATCAAGGTGGTGGGTGTGCGACGTGCTCTGGCAGGAAGGAGAGGGTGGGGTGCTCAGGAGCCACCAAGCATATCTTGAGGGGGTTATCACCCCGTTGTCAGGTCTGGACTATGATGCCAGGGGCCCATTGGATCCTTCAGAGGCAGTGGTGGGACTGGAATCATTTTCGTGGAAGGTGGGGCGTGGGTGGTGCCCCTTACATGTAGCTCCAGCCCAGCATTGGAGAGGTCATTTGCCTGAAGCAAGAAGAACTGAAAGGGAAATTAAAAAAAACACAAAACAACTTTCCCCACCAAGTCTGAATGGAGGTAAAGATGCTTAGTAAGTGGGAGAGCTCTAATTTGAATCAGGCCTGCAGTGAAGAGGGACTGCTGACCTTTGTAGCGATATTTGGCCCCTTACCCCTCGGAGGGCCTCTGGGAGGAGGAGGTGGGCACAGGCCGGGACTCAGCAGAATTACTGGTGTTCTCAAATGCCACAGCTGGTCTCGGCTGCAAACAGAATTTCTCAGAACCTGTCAGAGGCATTAATGTTTTTCTTTTGAGAATTACCATCATAGGCACTCGAAAAAGTTACATTTGAAAGGCAGACGTACAATGCTGGGTTATCCCAGTGCCTGGGTCTTCACTGGAAACAAAAGACACTCTGATCTCTCAAACGGCTTAATTTGATTTTATCAGAAATGTATACATACAGAAATTTCCCCCGTAGGCTGAGAGCCCTGCTGAGAAATTTTAGCCCAGAGTGTAATTAGCTGGAGAGAACTAGCAGCATTGGAAAATAGAGCTTCTTATGATAAAACGTCCCAATTACGGCGATGGTGTCACTTATTTGCTCCTAATATATATGTATTTATCCATCATCTTTTCTGGTTGATGAACGCGACCAAGACCTGCTCTCCTGGTGTTGCTCAACAGTGGGCTATGGAGATGGCATATCTTTGCCTTATTTTTGCTGGCACATCCTAGCACTGAAGCACATTAAAGTAATGAGATTAGGCAGCATGGCGTCCTCGTCACTCCCACCATGTTCCCGTAACCCCCTCACTTACAACAGACAAGGAGAGAAAAAAATTTTTTAGAGCAATTTAAGATGAGGCAACACTGGATATGTAAATCCTGTTTCCTTGGCAGTGGAGCAGCTACTTAATTCTCCTAAAATGCCTAACAGTCCACCAGCCGTGCTGGGCTGGAACAACTCCATTTTAAGGCCACAAGGCGGAAAATGTACAATCGCAGCTTTTACTACTATCTCTGGGTGCCGTGGCCACGCAGACCATTGTCCCACCCTCCGGCCACATGTTTTGTCCCAGTTGCAGTTCCGGGAAGGAGCCTGTTAAAAAGTTCCCATTTTGCCCGAGTTGGATGGCAAAGGCAGTTGTCATTTTTTAGAAAGCGTATCACTCCTACCCACTTTATTTCTCCCAAAGAGTAGCTGGCAGGATGCAGGAAATGGTGAGAACAATTTCAAGGAAAAACTTTGAACTTGAATTTGAGTCTGCTAAAGACACAGAGCAAGACAGAGAGAGACCTGGGCAACAGAATTATTCCCCAGAAGTGGCAGCAGCGAGCAGCTGGCTGCAGAGGCCGGTCGGCCCGCAGACACTGGGCCCTTTGTGCTGGGGATCTTCACCGAGACACCCAGCGACCGAAGCGAAGGACGCCTGGGCTCAGCGGGGATTTGTGGCATTCGGAATGAGTTCTAACAGGATTCCCAAGGTTAGGGAGACAAGGGAGAAAGAGAAAGAAAACAATTGCCCCACTCTGCAGAACTTATCTCAGACTTTACTGTGCTTAGTGTAACTGCCATAAAAATAAGAGGTTTAAAAGCTGCGGAACAAGTCAGGACTGGCCGAAATATGTGGCTTTGTGTCCCTGTGCTTTCATCTCCCCCCTCCCCTTTCCTTGGCTTGACTCTGCCCAAACCTGCAGGAGTTAAGAAAGCACCGTGATTTCACAGGGATCCCAAGCAGCAAGCCGCTGGGAGTTTTCTAGAACTCAGCTCTGCACTTCTTGCTCCAGAATAGAGAGAGGAGGAGATGGGTAGCCTTCAAAATGGCCCTGAGGCGAAGGGACCCTGAGGTGGGGAATGGCCTCAGGTGGCTGAGGGGGCGCTATTGCAGGGCCCTTTGGGTGCGTGGGTCCTAATTGTCCACTTCCCCACCCGTCAAGCTCCCAGCGACTTCACAGACTGCAGCTGAGGGAATTCTCAGCCCCTCCCCTCTACCAGGTGGATGCTGGGGCAGGAAGGGAGAGAAGAGGAGCTGGAAGAGTGTGAAGCAAGCGCCCAGAGCTTAGAGGACTTGGAACTCAGTTATCTGAGTGCATTGGCGGCTGTGTGAGCATATTAAGTCCACCATCATCTTCATGGGTCCTTGACCAACAGTATCATATCCCCTTGGAGGAGCTTGTTAGAAATTCAGATTCCTGGGCCCCATGCCAGACCCACTGGATCTGACTCTCAGTATTTTTTTTTCTGAATTAATAGTTTTACTTTCTTTTCTTCCGTATTAAAGTAAAACATGCAATAAAGTACCCAAATCTTAAGACTCTGTCAGTGAATATACCTATGCGGCCACCACCCAGATCAAGATATAGAACATTTCTACCTCCCTCCCATCTTTCCCGGAAAATAGGCAGCTTCCAGGGGCAACTGCTATTCTGACGCCCGTCACACAGGGAAGTTTGCCTTCACTTGAACTTCTCCCCCATTGAGTTATACAGGGTCCCTCTGAGTCTGGTTTCTTTCTCTCAAGATAGTGAATGTGAGATTCATCCACATTGCTGCTTGTAGGAATAGCTAATTCTTTTCCATTGTGGTGTGGCATCCTATCGCATGAATGTACTACAATTTGCTTGTTCATTCTACTCTTGATGGTATCTGGGTTGTTTCCGGGTTTTGGCCATTATACTGAAGCTAAGAACATTTGTATGTGTGTCTCTTACGCCCATAAACGCTCACTGCTGTTGGGAGTGGAACTGCTGTGTCACAGGGCAAATGTAGATCCAGCTTTGGTAGATAGCTGCCTAACAGCTTTCCAAAGTAGTTCTGCCAATTTGCACTCTGACCAGCTGTGAATGGGAATTCAGCCGCTCTGCATTCTTGTCCACACTTGACATTGTCAGATCTTTTCATTTTAGCCATTCCGGCAGGTGTGTAGTGGTATCTGTTTGTGATTTAATTTGCATTGCCCTGCTGGCTAATGATGTTAAGAACTTTTTCATGTGCTTATTGACCACTTGGATTTTGCCTTTTGTGAAGAGGCTGGTCAAGTCTTTTTAAAATTGGGTTGTGTGTCTCTTAGCCTCTTAATCCGTGGGGACATCCTGTTATTAATAGCCTCTCCAAGTGACTTAAGAACACTACTATCAGAGAACTGACTCTCTGAAGTACTCCTTAAGTTGTCCAGTTTTCTTGAGGCATCTTTTTTCCTTTCTTCAATTCCCAAACCGGCAGCTCACTTTCTGCCTTGTGTCCTTCTGTTATTTAAGTCATAGACATGGTGCTTTCCTCTAAACTTTCTTTTGATGACATTGGCAGAAATGGACGTCACGGGTTAAGTGTGACTGCGTTTTGGTCATTGAAGTCCGGCTGAGTGTGGTGCCTGGAGTCTGGGATGCGAGGAGTGTGTCCAAGCCGCCTCTCCGCCTTTCCAGCAGCGTTTTGTTCACACTACAACCGTGTCAGCCATGTGGGGAGTGGAGAAAGGTGGGAAGAGAAAGAAGAGTTTCGGAACTTTCTAGGAGTTTCGAAGCCCCACATGTCACTTCTCTTCCCCAACATCTGCCTTTCCCCTCTGCCGGGAGCCCATGAGAAGGGGGATGTGTGTTCAGTATGTTTCCATGCCCATGTTTGAGCTACGTGTGTATGTGACCTGCTTTGGGTCATCAGAGAGGAACCGTTTCATATCCTTCCACCCTCGATGCCAACTGTGCAATAATCTGCCCTCTAAGTACAAATGTCCCCCATCGCTCTGCCAAGCCGAATCAGAGGAGGGGACGCAGAAGTTTTATAATGTCCAGGGATCATTCTGTAGACGAGCAGAGCAGAGACTATGCGGGGTGGTGTCCCGGTGGGAGAGTCTGCCAGTCTCTTTTTAAATGTGATCCTCCTGGAAAGAGAGATGTGTTGCTTCTGGAGAGGATCAAGAGATGGAGGGAGGGAACGAACATGTGTTTCTTCTTTGCCTTGAGTAGCAAAGGGCGTTCCCTCTTGCTGCTCTGCTCTTTCCCTCTGTAAACTGCTACTCGGAGGCCCAAGGTGGCAGGAAGTGGTGAGGTGGTGGGAAGGTAGAAAGAAAATGCTCAGTGCAGCGTAAGTGTGTGTCCCCTCCCCTCTCCCCCTTCCTCCCCCTGGCAGAGAAGCTGAGTGAAATGGCCCCAGAAAGATATTTACAGTATCGTGACTATTCACAGAAATTCATAATGATTTTGTGTGCATGTGTTGCAGAATACAACTGTGAGACTGGCTCTGAGAAAGATTTCTTTTTCAATTTGTAGGCTGGTTGCGATGGTGAGAGTATTGGAAATTGCCCATTTTCTCAGCGTCTCTTTATGATACTCTGGCTGAAGGGCGTTATATTTAATGTGACAACAGTGGATCTGAAAAGGTAAGACAAGTTTTCTGCATTATTGAAATAACCGTGCCCTATTCTCTAGACACACACACACATACACACTACTATACTAGGACCCACTAGACCATGTCATGGCATGTCCATCCACAGGCAGGACCCTGAACTGAAGCTTGAGTGTTGGGCGAACAGTAATTACAGGATTGGATCAGACGTGATCAGGGAGGCGTAAAGTGGGGGTGTCATCAGGAACCTGATCTCCCAGTTACTGGTCAGCTGTGAACCTCTGGAAAGCCCGTCTGAACAGTACTCCTGGTTGATAGCACTGGGGAGAGTTAACTTTTCACCTCCATATCCAGAAAAAGGGCCCCACTTTCATCACCAGTAGGACATTTTGCAAACCCACAACCTGCTTTGAAATCCTCAAGGGTTGTTTCTCTCAAGTTGGGGCGGGCACGGCTAAGCCTTGGAAATGAACCCAAACTCTGTGGCTGCCTGTAAACACCGCCGTTCCCTCCCACCCAGGAAACCCGCGGACCTGCAGAACCTGGCGCCCGGAACAAACCCTCCTTTTATGACTTTTGATGGTGAAGTCAAGACAGATGTGAATAAGATCGAGGAGTTCTTAGAGGAGAAATTAGCTCCCCCGAGGTAGGCCTCATCAAAACAGCCTTCACAGCTCGATCGTCACTTTCCCCCTTCACAGACCATGCTAAAGCTCTGGGCTTTGTGTGTTTGGTTTTCTGCGGCCGTGGTGCTTACTTCCTAACTATACCGTGGTGTGCTGCAGAAAACACAGAGCGAGGTTGGAACCCTTGAGTTAAGGTGGCTGGATTTCTTTGCTCTGCACCTGCAGGCTGGTGATTAGGGTTTGACAGCAGGAAGTGAGGAGGAGGAGGTTGGTCAGTGTTGTGTGGGTGGGTCATTTCCTAGGTACATACACTGCTGGAAGGTAGGCGTGTGTGTTAGCAGACAACGTCACGGGTGCTAGACCTGGAAAAGAACCTTCTGGTCCCTCACCTTCATTTTAGTAGGGAGGCAATGAAGCCCAGCGAGGCCAGGTGGGGCCCTGTGTCCCAGGATGAGTACAGTCAGTTTCATGCTTTCCCTAGAATGTGCTGCTTCCAACCTTGAAGATAAAAAGATTAGGAAGATATTCAAGGGGAAGGTTTCATTTTTATATCCACTCTGAGGAAGACACTCCCCCCTCCCCGTTGTATTATCCTAACTCAAACGCTGCTTGTGTGTGATCCTTCCATTTTGAATTTTTCAAGGTACCCTAAGCTGGGAACTCAACACCCTGATTCTAACTCCGCAGGAAATGACGTGTTTGCCAAATTCTCAGCATTTATTAAGAACACCAAGAAGGATGCACACGAGAGTGAGTAGCTCCCATCTTCCTGTTCTCAGTTTGCAACGTGGACCTCCATGCAGCCTCTGATGGGGCTTCTTCTGAGATCCTGGGAATTCTGACTCATTTCACAGCGGGGAGGGACCTGTGTCTAGAAATAAGAAAAAGTCCTTCCAACTTTGAGTCTGCACATGGGGTTCAAGAGATTGAGCACTTCTAGAGGTTGAGAGCCCAGAAGATGACATTTTTTAGGGGAAAGTAATCATCACCAGGAGTTCTCAGCTGGGGACCCAGCTGTTCAAATGAACCTTCTGCCATGCCTACTTCATTATGGGATTTCCAGGAAGATGGCTGAAGAAATGAATGTGTTCTAGAAGTAGCAGTGTTGTGTAGACACCAAGATTCTTTTCAAGGGAGGAATGAGTGATTTATTCAGATCTTGTAAGTCCACCTCCTTCTTTCCCAACTCCCCACTGCCCACCGGCCATGTCTTGGGAAGGAAAGGGGACAGTCTCCTTCCTTCACATCTAGAGAAAAGTGACGCTAACTCACATGGCTTATCTTAGTCCTTTTTTGCCTTTCTGTTTAGTTTATGAAAAGAACCTGTTAAAGGCCCTGAAGAAGCTGGATAATTACTTAAATAGCCCTCTGCCTGATGAAATAGATGCCGACAGCACTGAGGAAGTTGCTGTTTCTGGAAGGAAATTCCTGGACGGAGATGAGCTCACGCTCGCCGACTGTAACCTCTTACCCAAGCTCCATATTATTAAGGTTGGTCGTTCCTCCTACCGCGGTGCTGAATACATGAATGGGGCTTTGTTTTATTTTGTTTGACTTGTGTTTTGGCCAGACATCAAAACTATCTAAAATGTGGACTCTTGAATTAAAAAGTCTAGCTTATTTCTGTGTGAGGCAGCCAAACCCCAAGTTTCAGATATATAGATATTCTTAGGTATTCTTCACATATTCTCCAGAAGCATCTGCAAACTTGGCTTCCCTTCCTCCATCCTCTCTCCTTCTCTTTTCAAGTCTTACCCCCACAGACTAAGGAAAAGTTGTGTGAAAGCAGCTTGAGGGAAGGCTTAGAGGTGATGCGTGGAGTCTGTGAGTATTAAAGTGTGAATTCAGTCAATTGTTGGTGATGGTTGGCGTAAACTAAACATCCACCTTCTACAGCGAGGGAGTAGCTGACAGCTCCTTGGCTGGGCCTCTGCCAGATTGAGCATCCTGTCTTCTCATATAATAAGAGTCATGGGTCATATACTATTAGGGTTTAAAGGTTCCCTAGATTAGTGATTCTCCAACATTAGCAGGCATAAGAATTGTTAGAGGAGCTTGTTAGAAATGTAAATGCCCTCATCCAGCCCCTGACCTACGAAATCAGAACTTCCGGGGATGATCCTGAGATTCCAAGGCAGATGGCCCCACACTTGCTTGGACTCCTTGGTTACGGCTGTCTCTCAGTAGTGCCCCCTGCCTCTCTGTCACTTACAGGTGTTAACTTTGATTGTCATTATCACTGTTGCTATGTCCTTGGCCCTCAGTAGCCCCAGATGCCCCAGGAAGAAGCCCAAGACTTGTTCTGAGCCATCTTGATTATGAAATCCCACCAGGTCTAGAGCTAGGTCCTTGGTATAAGGATAGGGCAGTTGGGAGAGAAGACACAGAGGAATACAAGTCAAGGGCCCTGTGTTCTAATAACGCATTGAATTGGCATTAGAAATTTACCAATTAGGGTCACACAGTCTGTGGCCCTGAAGCTCCTATGGGCTCCCAGCCACCACTGGTTACCCACGTCATTCCCTTGTCTTTCTCTTCCTGCATTTCTTCTTCCTTCCTTATGCCCCTCCCAATCCTTGCCCCATTTCTCCCCTTTCTTCTCTTTTCCCTGTTGTACTCAAGGAGTACCAATTGAAATCCAAGCCTTAAATATGTTGCTGATCCCACACATGAACGTTCTTTTCCATAACTTTGCCAGTGCCCCGACATCTAACGTTTAATGAAAGCCTCTCAGCCCCTCAAACCTGCTACATTGGTGATTGTCCAAATTGGAAGTTTGGGAGCTATTTTCCAACAAATACTTATGTAGTTGTGTTCTGGTTTAATCCCTTTAGTGAATGTGTTCTAATCATTTCTATGACTAGTGTAGCATCACAGAGGTACACGGATGTTGGGGAAGAGCAAGAGAAATACCCCAGCCAAACAACATCAATTGCAACTTGTTAAGGCTCTATAAAAAAGGACTATTTTAAGTTTTCAGTAGAAAGGGTAAACTTCAGAGTAAAGTAAAGCAGTACATGGCTCCAATGTAAGACCTAACAGCAAAATCTTCAAAGCCATTTAGCACTCAAAATATCAAACAGCTTAATAATCTTCCAGGATGGAGCACTTCTGAAAGGAAATGAGAATCAGTCTAAAGGAATTTATGGTAAAAGATGAGAGAGTAAAGGAATTCATAATTTATTTCCCTTCCTGAAACCCAGCAAAAACAATTTGAAAAAATAGAGCATTAGCTTCATCTTTCGTAAAACCAGAAAAGGACCGATCACCAACTCAAAGATGAAGAAATTTCCTCCAGTGCAAGTTGTCACAGAGCCAAGGCGTGGTTCTCTATATCTTTAGCAAGGTTTCGATTTTTGTAAAAGTAAATAACACAGTCCTTAAAAACCCAGCCCAGACTTCTCTGTTTGAGGCCTAGGGCATGGAGTGGGCCACAGAGAAGTGAAGAATATCCCTACAGAGATCATTGTCAAGCTGAGATCTCTGGGGAGGCAGAGTTGAAGGAGGAGCCATACAGAGGAGCCATCTTTGTTTTCTGCCATCTGTCCTCTTTCCAAAGGCACAGGGAGGGGAGGTGGAGTGGAGGAGAGAAGGGGGGCAGGATTCTGCTTTGTGACTGCTTTGTGAGCAGAGAAAAGAGAGGCAGGATTCTGCTTTGTGACTGCTTTGTGAGCAGAGAAAAGAAACAAGCCGTGAACCAGTTAAGAGAGACTATGAATTACCAGCGCGTCATTTTTAGCCATGGTGACCTCCTGCCTGGTCTTTGAGCCTCAGAGTGGAAGATGCCCTAACCCTAAACCTAACCTTGACCCTGAGCCTGACCCTAACCCTCACCCTGATGTGTCCCTGGGGCAGAGTACAGATCAGCAATTGGGGAGAGGGTATTTGAGGGTAAATATCCAAATTGGTCTACCAGTTGCCCCATCTCGGTCTCTTTGCGCTCCACACTATTTTTAAGGAATAGTAAGACCAATTGACCTGCCTCATTAAAAGATCATTAATAACCAGAAAGAGTCCAAGTGGGACCTCCATGTAGACAAAAGAGACCAAAAATGGGAGGGGAAAAGGGATAAAGAGAAGGAAAAAAGAGGAAAAGGCAGGTGAGAAACACATATCTGATGAAGAATTGCTCCAGTAGATGAAAGAACATTCCAGACAGAGACTTCTCTATGGCTTCAAAGAAAAGAAAGAGAGCGTGGATCTTTTGAGAAGAAGCTCAAAGACAAGACACAAGATGCCAAAAAAAACATAACATCACAAAGAAGATGAAAATCAGGCTGGCAGAGCTCACGAAAAAGACAAAGACAAGATAGTTTCAGAAATAAAAGTTATATTAGAAGTAGCAAGAGATAGAAAAAGACGTCGCAGCAATCGGTCAGGGATTCGGAGGGTGGGTCTGAGAAAATCATCCCAAATCTAATGCAGAAGAAACAAGAGACAAAGGAGATTCGAGAGATCCCAGATGTGCAGAGTCAGGAACAAGAGAACAGGAAAGGAAAAAGAAAGAAAGGAAGCTCCTGGGGAAAATGATTTTGAACCCAAGGATGACTTGACCCTCAGTTTAAACGATGTGCTATGATTAGAAAAATATTGTCCAGAACAACCAGGACACTAAGACATGTTCGAAGAGGTCCCGGACTGGGAGGATGCAAAAGAAGCCTTTGGGCATTCAGACAATGACAACGACAACGATAGCACTGATAGTGAAATAATAAATAGTAAAGCCACCTACAAAGGGAAGAAATTCAGACTGGCCACATAAGTCTCCATGACAGCATTAAAAACCGGAAAACAGTGGTTTAATATTTATAGAGAATTAAGGGAAAGGATGTGTGATGTAAGAATTTTATATCCAGGGTGAATTGTCCTTTTTACCTAGACTTCTGGTCTCAGTAAAATAAGCACTCTTGGGCCATTTTTAAAAATAGTATTGCTATATGATGAAATAATAAAATGAAAATAAAAGTAAGGATCCAGGAACAGAGAAGATGTGTGGTATAAAAGGATTCATGATCAATATAGAGTCTATTTAAATGTAAACCGGAACTAAGACTAAACAACAGTGGGAATTCTAGGTACAGGACAGAATCAAAATACATAGTAAACTTGGATGTGCTTACAACCAACGGGAGGGGCATAAGGGAGAAGAAATGGAAAGAAGTGCAGTTATGCTAATTTCCTCATTTGTCATAATCAGGAATAAATAGAGATCATCTAAAGTTGATAAATCAAGAAATAGAGAATTCCTTTTATTTAAAGTTATGTAAGAAATGACTGGAAGAATTGAAGCGGACCGTGAACTTTCTAAACTACCAGAAAGGGAAACACACACACAAATGCACAAATATACACAAAAAGATGGAAAACGAAGTAAGCATTAAATTAGAAACTATAAAAAACAAGATTACATCTATAAGAAACATACATGTAACAAATTTACTTAGAAATGTTAAAATAAAAAGATGGACAAAATGCACCAGGCAAATGCAAACCAAAGGAAAGCAGAGGGGCCGGCCCCGTGGCCGAGTGGTTAAGTTCGTGCTCTATTGCAGCGGCCCAGGGTTTCACTGGTTCGGATCCTGGGTGCAGACATGGCACCACTCATCAGGCCATGTTGAGGCAGCGTCCCACATGCCACAACTGGAAGGATGTGCAACTAAGATATACAACTATGTACTGGGGGGATTTGGGGAGATAAAGCAGAAAAAAAAAAAAAAGATTGGCAAGAGTTGTTAGCTCAGGTGCCAATCTTTAAAAAAAAAAAAAAGAAAGGAAAGCAGAATTCTTCACGTTAAACATCAGTAGGAGCAGTAGGTTGAATTCAGGCAAAAGGTGGTAAACACTTTAGGGCTTTCTGAACGTTATATGGTCCTGTTTTGTTGCACCAATAGCTGGTAGCCTCCAAAATCTGAGAAATAAGTCCCAGAGATCTTCTAATTTGTGGTAAGTCCCATGTTCACGTCATTCAGACATCCCAAGGCTGCCTTTGTAGCCCTGGGTCCCTGTTAGGGGGTGAATTGTGTCCCTTAAATTCAAATGTTGAAGTCCTAGCCCCTCAGGACCTCAGAATGTGACCTTATTTGGAAATAGAGTCTTTGTGGATGTAATCAGTTAAGATGAGGTCATATTAGAGTGGCGTGGGTCCCCCATCCAGTATGACTGGTGTCCTAATAAAAGGGAAATTTGGGCGCAGAGACACACACACATATTTGGAGATTGGAGTGATGCTGCCACAAGCTAACGAATGACCAGAAGCTAGAAGAGAAGGACCTGGAACAGATCCTTTCCTAGAGCATTCAGAGGGAGTGTGGCCCTGCCAACACCTTGATCTTGGACTTCTGGCCTCCAGGACTGTGAGAGAATCAATTTCTCTTATTCTAAACCACCCAGTCTGTGGTCCTTTGTTAAGGCAGCCCAAGGAAACTGATACAGTCCCCAACGGTATACACCCTCCTTTGTGACTAATTCCCCAACGGCACCCCTCCAGCCAAAGGAAACATCCCACACCATTGTGTTGCCCACGATGCTTATTCTCAGTTGCCCTCTCCTTACATCCGCTATTTCCATGAGGTAAGGATTTGTGTCCATTTTGTTCATGAATCATCCTCTGCACACAGAAGATGCACAATGAAACGATCCTGTCAGTGGCAGGATGGTGGACATCTGTAGGAATAGCATACCCCGATATTTGGGATTTCAGGAGGTAAGGCTGAGCAGGCAGGAGAAAGAGAGGACAGTTCACAGTGGTCCTGGCATAATCTGAATTGAAGATCTGTCACAAATCTTTAGGCACCAAATAACACAGCAGCAGAACACAAAGAGAAAACTGCTGGGGACATTAGAGAAACCCACTGGAGGACAGAGCACGTTCATGTCAGCGCATCACAAGGATCATTGATGATGAACTGGTGGGCAGGATTGTGGGGAGCCACTGTTTCCAGTCCAGAACCTTTACAAGCTTTCCCATACCCAGTATGCCCCATGCAAAGTCAAAATGCAACTCGGGGTAGCCAGTGGGGCTGTAGGGTGACGTCCTGAGAAAGAGAATCTACTACACGCCTCAAAGAGTGGATTGTCTGATCTAAGTGCCTACGTCGGTGGGTTTTCCTTTTGCTGATTATTTCCTCTTCATTTTCAGATTGTGGCCAAGAGATACAGAGATTTTGAATTTCCTTCTGAAATGACTGGCATCTGGAGATACTTGAACAATGCTTATGCTAGGGACGAGTTCACAAACACGTGTCCGGCTGACCAGGAGATCGAGCATGCCTATTCGGACGTTGCGAAAAGAATGAAGTGAAGCTGGGTGTTTTCCGTCTTCTGTCTCAGTTGTACAAGCGAGGCTATGAGAAGATGGTGTTCTTTGCATTTTCCCCCAGTAACCATCTTTTGCAAAATAATGCCTATATTTTAACAATATCCAGGATCCACTCAACACCAAATCATACGTGGCCTTGTAATTTGTTAACTCACTTGTGTATCTGAGTAATCTCAGTATCTGTTGTTATCCACACCAATTGCCCAGTTTATGTTAATGTACATCTTTGCCCTTCACTGACATTGTAACCCATGATATTTAGGGCACGTGTTTTTCAGTTTGTTTCAAAGCAGATTAAGTTTGGGTTCAATTCCTCCTTCGATTTAAAAAATTTGTCTGTCTCTGATAGTTTTCATAATCATGCATAGCCTGTTTTTCTCCTGTAAAATAGTAGTTTAATTTTTTTTTAGAATGAAAATACTGTTTCTGTAATTACAAAATGACATATGCCTATTTTAAAACAATGTCAGAGAGTATAAAGAAGAGAGAAAAAAATCACCGGAAGTGTCACTACACTTAGATAACTACTGGTGACTTATTGGTGAGCATCTTCCCCGGCTTCAGTCTCTCTCTCACACACAGACCTTCACAGCACACACAGTCTCATTCATGTGTGGTCTTGTGTCGCTTTATTGTAGAGGGCTGAGAGGGAACCTCTTGGGAATGCCTTGATGATCATCCATAGAGAACACAAAACAAAGAGATTCCGCACTGCAGAGCTAGAGAGGATGCTTGTGATCAGGTTTCACAGGGGTGAGAACTGTAGAGTCCACAGACCCACAGGGACCGGCAGGGACCAGGAGCCATGGAGGGTCCCCACTCTGCCTTGTCACTGCCTCCATAATGCACTGCCTCTTGTTCCTGGGAAGGCAACGGGGGAGAGTGCCTGTCTGCATCTTTTGTTCCAGCTCCCTTTCCGATGCCTTCTCTTGCTCCAGTCCCTCTCACGGAGACCATGCTTTCAGCAGGACTCTTAAAATCAGCTGCAAGTTGGAGAATCTTCCTGCCCGGTGTTGAAATGTGAATCAAGCACACCTTGATTCCTTCTAATGACCGCTCTCTCTAAGACCTAACACAGTACTTCTCCAGGATGATGGCGTGTGGGGCTAGCCTGGCTCTGTTGCTTTTCTGCTCTTTATTATCTCATTTCGAGGTTAGGCAGGGAAAATCCAAGGAGTTTAAGTTCGTGGTGACTACCCTCGGGCAGTTCTGGTAAGTGGTCAAACTGGGGAAGAAGTGGAAACTGTTGACTCAAAAGGGTTTTCTGGTTTGTCTGTGGCTTCCCCTCCACCATCTTTGTAGCCAGCGTCTCATCAACAGCTGTGTGTGTGGGCTGGGTTGCTGGGCTCCAACTCAAGGCATGGAAGACAAAATGGGAGGCTGTTTAGATACTCATCAAGACCTCACAGGGGTTGAGCATTATCTGCCAGGCTGTGTTCCTTTGACATTTACGCACATCTTACAGAAAACCCTCTTGTTGAGTTGGTTGTAGCGTGCAGTTGATGCTAAAATGCTCATTAAAAAAAAAAGTATACATCTGCTCTATGTCAATTCATTTGGAAGAGAGTAAAATTCATTAACAGTAACTGCTCTGGGATTTAGTGGAAAATGTCTAATAAGAGAAACAAAGTCCTTGATACTATGGTCACTTTCTGTCCCTGTTACTGGCTGCTACAGATTTATCTGAGCGTGAGAGACTCCAGCAGTCTGCTTTCTTTTTTAGCCATACAGTTTTGGAGGTTGTGTCTAGTATGTGTCACTATTGTTCATGTTTCACATCTGTTTAGGAGTGAAACAAGATTTACAATGTTGCACTTAAACTTGGTAAATGAAGAGACCACCATTTGTTACTAGTGCAAACTTTGTATTCTTAGATGTTAAAATGATTTACATTAACTCCATGTGCCTTAAAAATTGAACAAATTATAAAAATGTTTACATGGAACCAATAGCTTTAATTTTCTTTTTTTACTTTACATTCCCCACTTAAAGAAATAAAATGAACAGAAATGGGCTTTCTTTAAAATGGTGACAGCAACTTTGAACCAGAGATGATTGGTATTTGAATTAGAGATGATCTGTATTTGAATTGTGAACCACAAAGACATTTTAATGGAGCCTTAAAGAGGTCTGAAAAGACACACGTGACTTTGTCCAGGTGGCTGAAGTAGAGGCCCTGAAGACTGTTCCATTTTTAAATGTAATTGTAGGAAAGTGAATAGGTCCTGCCAGTCTTCCCCTCCCAGCAGCCTGTTCACAGGCCCCGAAAAAGCTGATCATATGTGGGAAGGTGAGAAATATTCCAGGGTTGATCTGCTGCCTTAAAATCTCTATTATACTGTGGTTTTTGAAACAAAATGCACACCATACATAGTGCAAATGTGGACGAATTGTGAATGTAGCCCTCTTTTGAGGCTGATCGTGTGAAGCTTCTCTGATGCAGGGGATGCCGTTCTCGGCTTCTAGTTGCCCAAGAGGCCTGACAATTAGAAAAAAATTAAGAGCTGGCCCTGTGGCCGAATGGTTGAGTTCGCACGCTCCACTTTGGCGGTCTGTGGTTTCCCTGGTTTGGATCCTGGGTGCAGACATGGCACCGCTCATCAAGCCATGCTGAGGTGGCGTCCCACACAGCACAACCAGAAGGACCTACAACTAGTATATACAATTATGTACTGGGGGGCTTTGGGGAGAAGAAGAAGAAAGGAAAAAAAAAAAAGAAGATTGGCAACAGATCTTACCTCAGGTGCCAATCTTAAAAAAAAAAAAAGAAAAAATTAGCTTTACTTCTGAACACAGAATCTCCAAATGTGGGCTGGAGGAGAATACAGAAAACGTCGCAAAGTTATACTTTCTGATACTGCCCAGCAAATGGGGATGGAAGGATAGAATTTAGCCCAGGAAAGGACTTTTAGAGACCAGAAATCTGATCTATGGGTCCATCCCCAGGAATTGAATATGCCTGAGCCCTTTGCTCCCCAGACACACACACTCACATCCATGCACACTCATATATGTACACACACAGGTTCATATATGTGCATACTCACAACACAGTCACACTCGTGCACAAACACACAGAGGCACGTTCACACATACAAACCCCTACAAACACATTAAGTGCCAACAAGTTAAACCTGTTACTCTCTCTTTTCTATAAGGAGCTTCGAGGCAGTGGACATGTTTCAAAAACCACAAAACAAACAACAGCAGACACAGAGTCCTGAGTCTGCCCCCGATACTTCTGACACATCTGAATGATCATTTAATCTCTCTGAGCCTCACTCTTTGCTTCTGGAAAATGGGAACAATATCTCCCAGTCATGTAGAAAGCAGCGTGCTTAAAAGTTCGCTGTGAAAGCTGCAATGTGTCTGGCTGCACACACGTTATTTTCTGGTATTTGTTCTTCTTACCTGGATTATGTCAAAATGGACAGGGCACAAGCTTGCAAGTTCATGGGACCTTGAGCCTTTCTCACAGAGGTGGAAGGCAGTTAAGCCCTGACCTCCCGCTTTCCTACAAGGAAGCACCATGCGTGGGATGGGGGTTGCCAACTGCTCAGCTGTCCCGTTTGATGGGTCCCTGTGGGCCATCCAGGGCTGGTCCTATGGTCTGTCAGGCACCCTGTGAACTGGGCTGGCTCCACAGTGGCCTGATGGCTCTCTCAGGACCCTTCCCATTTGGCTTGGAGACCCTGTTTTCAGTTGCGGGACATTTACTTGAGGCCCCAAGAAGTGGAAAAGCAGATAAGTCCATGTGAGTGGTCTTCAAGCCAGAGCCCAAGCCCCACCCATTCTCCTCACCAGTGGGTGGGGCTTCCTCCTATTCCCAGAAGCCGGGAGGCCTCATCCCACCTGAAGCAGGAATTGGGCTTCAGAACGGGTACCAGTTGGGTTGACGCCCCTGGCCTGATGCAGATACAGCTCAGGACGTCATCCAAACCCAGTCCTGCCTTCTCAGTGTCAGTTCAGGGCCGCCCATGTGGCACAGGGCGGTTTCCAGGGCCAGAGAAGCAAAGGATAGTGTGATCCTGCTGGTCTCAGCCTGGTTTCCCAGAAGTCCACACCCAGATGGTCAGGTTGCGTTTTCGACTGCGCTGAAGGATGTCTGTGAAGGGGGCTTCCCCTCTGCCCTGCAGCTTTCTGCCCTGCCCCAGAAGTGCCCTCAAGGACAAGAAGCTCCTCGCCGTGCCCACCTCTAACACAACTTGGTAGCCCCTCATTCATTTCCTGTTTGTGCAAAGAGATACGGGGTGGGGGTGGGCACTGCCCTGTAGACTTCAGGAACTGAAAAGAGCCCCTGGGTCGTCCCTTGACCTTCTCCTCTCCAAGCTCCATGATCCCAATGCTCCCTGCTGGAGCCCAACACATGACGGCTCAGAAATGCACGAGGGTTTTAGAGAAGGGGCAAATTCCTGGGTCTCAAGAAACCTACAGTGGCTAAGATTCCCACTTCCTCTCCTCACGAACGTTGGCTCCTGGAGTCAGCACACCTCCCTGAGTTGACTTGTTCTTACAGCCCTGGGCCTGGAAGAGGGTGCCAGGGCACTTGTGCAGTTGTCGGTGGGAGGAACCATCCTCCTGCCTCCATCCTGTGGCTGCATCCCCTGAACCTCCTCCTGGCCCCTCACCTGCCCCAGAGGGGTGGAGGGGCTGTGCACTGTGTTACTGAACCAGGTTCATTTTGCCCACTGCACAGATAGGCCAATCACCAAGATGGCAAGTGTGCAGCAGAGAAAGGGTTTATTCACAAGGTATCCAAGCGAGGAGATGGGAGCACCAATCTCAAATTCACCTCCCTGAAAATGCGGATCAGGGATATTTATGGGACAAAGGGGCAGAGTGGTCTGAAGTGTGGGAATAGACGATTAGAGGTAAGGAGAAGTGAGGTAACCCATGATCTGCGCAAGCGTAGTCAGGCTTCATGGCTCATCACAGGAGGTGTGTTCACAAAATGGCGGCCTTACCATGATCTGAGTGTGGAGTTTTCAGCTCCTTGACAACAAAGGGTAACCTGTTGGTCACCTGAGCAGGCCCATTTGATGGTGATCTTAACCAGCCTGAACTGGACAAGGAGTCGACTCTCAGTTCCTGAAAAACTCAAGCACCCATTACCGTGGTGACCCAAGCATCAGAGACATTATCTATAGGGTGGGTTTTAGTAATGCATCATCAAACTACTTTTGCAAACAGACCACTAACTGAGTATAGTTAAAGCAACTTGGCCCCCCGATTCAGGTGTGAGGTCGGAGGATGGGGAATGAGGTTCCTCTGCCAGCGGGAGCCTGCTGCTTGACCACCTACTTAATTGCTCCCGAATCAACTGCCAAGCAATCAATAAATCCATCCATTTGATTTCACGGTAGAACTGCATCAAAGGCAGTTGGGCAATCTGGACCACTGGTCCTTCTGCTCAGTCCACAGTCCTTGGACTGTGTTCCAATCCATTTTACTGCCCGAGAAGAAGGAAAATGTGACGACTGCTTGTGACTTATTTATGACTGTGTTACTACGATGCAGTGAGCACCTTCTGTCACCAAAGCCCACCTCTTTTCTGGCTCTCTTTTGCATCCTGGAGCGCTGACTTCTTGAATGCATTGCTTAGTGGAGAAGGATGGTTGACAGCCTTTCATCAAACCGGAAGGCAGCTTCCTCACAAACCCACAAAGAGCGAACCAGGTAGATTCTTTCTGTGTCCTTCTGCTCAGAAAAAAAAAAAAAAAGGCAAAATGAAGACAGACTTTGGATTTTCCATGAAGAGGATTCAAAGGGAGAGAGAGAGAAATAGAGCAAGAGGGTGGACTGGCTGTGGAGCAGTCCACTGGTCTGTGAGAACTTTCTGGTGCGTGACAGGCCTTTCAGGAAGCCCTCAGAAATGACACCAAAACTGAGTTAATTTAGCCACAGCTGCAAATTGTCTAGTGTTGAGGTTTTCAAATTGCAGAGAAGGCCAGAGGCCCCAGTCCTGCCCTGGAACTCTGGGCAGTGTCATCGAGACGACCCTTCCTAGTCATATTTTGTGCCAAAGTATTTGAAATGTATGTAACAATTTGCACACATTTTTCCCAACAGTGTGGACTGAACTAAAAGAAATAAGAGAAAAGAAAAACATAGGTCATTTTAACAAGGTTCTTGTCTCTTGATTTTTAAATCTGTGATGACGCTGAGGTGCAGATGCTTGTTCATGTTATGGGGCTCCTTGTCACCATGATCTTGGGTTTTCATAAGTTTGGAGCCAAGAGGAAGGAGAAATGGGTTGGGAGGATAGCTGGAACTCTAAGGGAGACTGGGCAGAAGGACTTGTCTTGCCTTCATCAGAATCTTTCAATTTTTATTTCATTTCATTTTTTTGCAGCTCACAAATGACTCACTGGTCCCAAGAAAAAGTATTGTTCAAAGAAAATCTCAGGGTCATTTAGTGGGGATTCAGGTATTGGGCAGGCCCTTTTGATGCCTACTTTGGTGTTTTTTGCTAGTTCAGGAAAGGAAAAGAAAAATTTGTTGCATCGATTATGGTACTAGAATACACAATGATGAAAAAGAAGTGAAAAAAAATGCTCTTTGCTTTTCAATAATGTGCAGTTACAGTGAGAAAATAGAATAGCGGCCAGAAAGATGCCCAGGAACACGTGTAATGGAAACCAAATGGGTGAGTGGGCAAAGTACACGCTTAAGGATTTTTATGACATTACTGAGAGGATGCTACCACAAATGAAATAATAGAAGTGACTAAGCACATTTGTATAGCACTTTACAGTTTATAAAGCCTGCACAACATAAACAGTTTCAGAGGTTATGGCTGTGTGTTGGTATTAAGGAGCACGATGTTGCAGCACTGAGGTGGCTACCATTTTGTCTCATGGTGGTGTTGGGGTCTATTTGCTTCTCTCTCACGAGTGGAGAGTGCGGCCCACCACACGCGCTTTGTTCTGTCAACTCCGGGGGCCT